AAGCTGCTCGACTCCTTCGAAATTGAGAGCCTCTTCATCTTCGGCATGAGGTACGTCGGAAAACTGCTTGGTCATCTCGCCACGCCAGTAGTTTCTGACGGCCTTTTCGTTGAACGCAACAAGACTTGACATGTTTTCATATCGATGCTTAGATATAGCTTCAAGGGTTGTTGTCCACAAGTCGAATGTTTGTTCATCAGGTGCGATCAAATGCATGATTTTGGTTGAGCGTCCGGTCGACTTATTGTCAGGTACAACATAGAGGATGGAGAAGAAACGAGGTTCGTCCTGAGAGTCAACCTTGAACTCCTCGCGATAGTTAAGAGCGTCAGATCCGAGTCGGATTTCCTTGATGTTGTCTATGAGAAAGCTCTTCGCGGGCCTTGTCTTATCCCACGATACTTTGCAAGCTTCATCTTCGAGAACAAATGTAAGAACTTTTCTTTTCTTCTTTGTGATCTTGATCATCGTGGTGCCTTGGAGAAGAACAGTAGGTATAACAGGTCCGAATGCGAGACCTGCGTTGCCGCCAGTCATTGTCGAAGAGCAAGCGAACGAAGCATTGGAACTTGGATAGTCACCGGTCAGACCTTCGATGCCTAATGGCGAATCCACCCATTCAATGGTATCCTCGTGAACATCCTCGTCGGAATCGGAGTTGATTGGGTAGTGTCTGGAATCTGGGGCTGTACTTGTACTGTCACTTCGACGTCGCAACATGACTGGTCCGGCGCTTTGTTCCCGACTTGTGTTTGTAGACTGCCGTCTTGAAATCTTGTTTGATAACCTTCTCATCAACCCGTGTGATCGATTGCCATTGGATGATTCGGCCATGGCAGTTTGGCTGTGTTTCCTTGAGACTACTGAGTCGGGGAGGGGTTCGAAAGGGGGAAGGCGATGTTCAGGTTCACGCCCTCGTGGGCCTTCGGGCGATACTTGTAATGAGGAGTTGTTGGTCATGATTTGACCAATATCGGGTGACATGATCGGCGATGCTTGTACAGAGCTTGAGGTTGTGACCGAGGAAGCCGACATTGGAACGGTGGGAGCGGAAGAAATGGTGGGAAGAAATTCGGTTCGCACACGCGATATACCACGTCTTCGATTCAGGGAGGATGATCTTTGTGGATATGAGGACATGTGAGGAGATTGTTGTTGTGTGGGAGCTCTTGAGGTAGTAGGAGTTAGGTTCGGACTCGACGTGAGAGAAGACATCTTGGAAGAGGATTCGGTTTCATTCATATTGCGATTGAAATGGAAATGAACTGTTCAATGGCGCGGCTTCGTATGATAAACTAATAGCTGAACTCGGGGTTGAGAACACTATACCATGTAAATGTAATTGAGCGCATATCTCTTGAGAAATTGGAGAAAGTGGTAAAGTGGTGGTGGATGAGTCGTATATTTTGCAGCAGGTATGGAATTTATGATTTCGATAGGGGAATCGATTGGATGCGCCAGATTGTGGTAGGAATGAAATTTTGCGTAATTTTAAATCATGTGGAATGATTTCTTTCTTTGATCAATGAGACGTCGGATCTGGATAATCTTGCATTTGATGGCAGTGAATGGTAGAAGTAGGAGACCAAGTTAGGAATTATTTCGAGACCTTGATGTTGATTGTGTGGGAATGAAATTTTGCGTGTATGGTGGGGGGGGGGGGGTAGGGGGGGGGAATTTAAGTTTCGGTTTTAGTTTTCTTGGGTTGATAGTGGTGGAAGATGCTGCGGTGGAAGGTGGTTCTGTGCAGGTATGTATGTACTATGTATGTACTATGTATGTATGTATTATGTATGTACTATGAATATGTACGTACTATGTAGGTGTACCGAGTTTTGTGGCAGGTGGTGAAAATGGTAGGTAATAAGGTAGCAAGGTAGCAAGGGAGTAAGTAACAAGTAAGGTAGTAATAAGATAGTAAGGTAGTAAGGTAGTAAGGTAGTAAGGCTAGCTTTTTAGTGCAGATGGGTTGTCTTTTTTTTAGGTGAGTGGATGAGTGGATGAGTGGATATCAGATAATCAGAGTAAATACTCTGTACCTAGCATGTATGTATGTATGTAGGTAATGTTAATAATAAAAAAGTCGTGTTAGGGTGATGGCTTGTTCGCCAAACCATCCCAGAGTCCCAGAATCCCAGGCCTGCAGGAAAGAGAGAATAAAAGAATAATTATAAGTTAACTAACTGTAAATAAAATAAAATAATGATGATAAAAGCTGGGGGTACAGCCGACGGTATTCTGCAGTAGCTGATTATGCTCAAGAGCTAATATAAATGTATTTTGTAATAGAATTAGCTATTCGCTTTGTGCGTTTTCCTCTTCTTCTTTTTCGGCTCGTCCGCAAGGCTTCACAGTCGAGAGAGAGAGAGAGAGAGAGAGAGAGAGAGAGGAAGAAGATGAAGTGGTTTCGTGAAAGCGTTATGCCGTTCAACTATTAGGGGAATTCGTCTCGCAGGAAAGGAATGTAAATTTGGTGATTTGATATGATGGATGTGTATCAGGAAACAAAGGAGTGAGCTCTAAACTGACTGGTATCTCTTCCGTGTGTAGTAATCGATGAAGAACGAATGAATGGAAAGTCGACTACAAAAATTCAACAAATAAGGAAGAGATGATGATGATTTCTCTTTCCCCTCTTCCCTCTCCTTAGTGTTCTCGATACAAACAAACGTTAACCCTACTAACGTCCGTATTTTCCTTTCTTTTTATTATTATTACTACCTTTAGATGTCTAGATAGTGGCTGGTTGGTGTGTGCGAATCAATAAATGATTAACCGAAGATCCAAGTTTTCGCTTCACTTGGTACCTATGATATTCAAGAGCCGCTAAGAATTAATAAATTCCTTCAGTGGCTTTTGGATGTCCAAGGAATCGTTGGTTCAGTGAGAGGGAGCGTTTGTGGATTAGTGGTTGTGGGTTTGGTGGGTTGGTGGGTTGGTGATTTGGTGATTTGGTGATTTGGTGAGGAATAGGTATCAAGTGTAGCGTAAAGTATAGTAGTGTACGAAGTGTCTCGAGAGTGTACGCTGTCGTAGGAAGTGTGTATGTAATATGTGAGTAGCTAGCTGTATAGTGATACCCTCAAGCTATGATAGATAGACAACGTAGGTATCTAGCTAAGGTATAGATGCCAATGGATCCGAATGGTCAGGCTGATTTAAGGCTGCTTAAGGTCGATGCTCTGAACACTAATGTAGTAATGAAGGGCGCTACCAGACAGACCTTAACACTTTCAACTTTTTTCCTCGATTGATCATCAGGGATTGGATTGACAGTTCCAGGTTTTGCTTGTCGTGGTTTGTTGCGTTGCTGCTCGCGGCTCGCTGGCCTTAAAACAAATTGATAATAAGAATTGCTCGGTACTCCGTAATCTTGAAAAGGATCCAGTGTGTGTAGGTAGGGAGGTACCGAAATAAGTAATATCGAAAGTTTTGGGTCCAATATGATATGTCGCAGTCAGTCAATCAATCAATAATGAATAGGTAGCGCGTGGTGCGTCGTGCGTGGTACGTGTAGTGGAGTTATTATTGTATTGGATTTTGCTTGCTCTTGGAATGTATTTGGTGGGTAAGATAGATTGATGTATGAATCGGTCAATCCGTGATATCCCATCAATTGCCGTGAAGGTAGCTTGGAGCGTTCGAACGTTGTACAGTCAGCAGCCCATGCGCCAGAATGGTTTCGCTTTTCTATGGATATCAAATGATGAAAGTGGAGAGCTATTTTCCAGATGTTTTACTTGAGAACTATCACAATCATTCGTTGCCGAAAAGTATCTTTGGCTTTTGGCTCCTTTCTTCCCGTCTTCCAATCCTTCTGTCGCTAGGTCTTCCCTTCCTTCTTATCGATGGATCGAGGACCCTTCTCGAAACGAGGCGAGATTAGATGAGATGAGACGAGACGAGATGGTGGCTTTTAACTTCTGACTGCTTTGGTTGCTTGTTGACTACGCCTTGTGCATGTGATAAGTGGCGTGTTGTCAATCGCTATATAATTTGTCTTTGTTTTAGAGATGTGATTCGTAAGGGGCAGATAGGTCGATATACGAAAATCAAAGGTTAAGCCTTGATGTTTGGACTTTGAGCTTTCTGCCGTCTTGTTCGTCGGAGCGTATGTCGATCGAAGTTGGAGTGTTGAGATACCAGGAACAGGGCTCTCAATGTTTTGTTCGGAATAGATGCAATTCGTAAAATAAAGGGTGAAACGGAGGTATGGTATAAGTAAATAGCTGGGTACAAGTAATCAGTCTATCCTGACTTCGTTTGGAATGGCTGGAGGAGCTGGTTACAAATCTAAAGCAAGATGGCACGATGAGAGCAATGTGTATTTGACTGTACTCGAAGTAGATGTGATGAACTCTAGTGAGTAATCTCAACACGTATGTCAAAGTCAAAGCAGGTTAGAATCCAAGATCAATTTCTTCAAATTGAAATATAGACGTCAATAAGCATTAGGATTCTGGGGCTATACAATAATAATATTCCATCCCATTTCTGGAGCACCGTTATATCGTGAGCAAATTGAAAAGTAGCCAAACCCAAACTCAAGATCAGTCGTACACAACTATTTCGTGCATATATCGCGATAGGGATCTGAATTCGAACATTTCCCCCCTCCCCTCAAGTTCTTAAGAAGAAGGGACCGGGAGAGGAAGACCAGCAGGTTGTCTCATCATCTCATCATTCACACAGTCAATTGCGCAGTGCTGTGCAGTGCATTATGCACAGGAAATGCTGCAATGATGTTACTCGCTGCAGACCAGAATTTCTCCTACCCTGTCTTGATTCCACTGCCACAGCATTCTCCATTTCATTAATCCCATCTTATCCCATTCCATCAACAATCAACCGAATCCCCCCGAAAGTAAGAAAGTTAGACGCTGTTCTCCTGTGAAAAAGTAGGTCTCGTGGTCACATTCATCAACAGGGGGACGGTGACCGTCAGGTTAGGTAGAAAAAGGTAGGAACATGGCATATAACGTTGTCATTGGGAATCATTCATGAAATCAGAACCGGCGAAGCATTTTGCTTCGTTGGCACACACGGCGATATCAATGGGATCCAATCATAAATCGTTACCCCTCGCGCACCTCGAGCGAGCAACATTTTCTCTCCCCCCCGCTGTGCCTAATCATCCATATATTTCCAACCCCCATCCTTCACCGCTTCGAAAAATCATTTTTCAATCTGTGCATGTAGTATACCGACCACCAGTTCGACTGACTTTGCTCTGCAGAAGAAACACTCACGAGACCAAAGGTAATTTGAACAGACCCATCTCCCAGCCCTTCTCGGGTCTTCGTAAGTACCAAATCGGTACAGTGCTCTCTCGTTCCTTCGTCCTCGTGCTTGGCGTCGAAATGATGCCATTCGCATTGTTTCCCTCGGGGAGAATGTCATTTGTTCGCGATGCGGTTTGATTACATTCGGAAGATATAGATAGATAGATAAATATCTTAATCTTGTACTCTATCTATGAGCTATCACATATCATTATTTTCCGTGCTTGTCTGCTAGCTATTCTTTCTCAGTTGTCTCCATTATCCAGCTTCCCAGCTTGCGAACAGGGCTATATTACTTACAGGAGGCTACCTGGGTGTAACATGACGCGCTTGGAAGATGGATAAGGCTAGATATATATACGAGGGAAGTAGAGAGTGAGTTCATGCAGCAAAATTATATGGAGATAAGACGTGCGGTAATGGACCATGAGAACTGTTCTCGTGTAAAAGTGCCATTTTCAATCACAGTCGGACTTTATAGGTAGATATCAGTCATTCACCGTGGATCACATCGAGGTCACTTGGGATGAGAAGCATATTTACGCGTGAATCCATCCTGTATCTATGGAGCTTCCACCTCTTCACGTCACATCCTGTACCATAGTGGAGCGAAGATGCAGCATCGATAACCTCGATAGAGTAATCTAAACAAAGTTTCCCCCTCTTGCCCCTCAATCTCAATCCTACCTGAAAAACGGTCTTGTTCACACAGGGCTTAGGAGGTACTCTTCGACATTTTCCCAATTTACTGTCTATCATATTACATGCCTCTTGAACAAATGATGTATACATCGCATTTGCACGTCGTGATTTCTTGCACCACTGAGCCTGCCTATCATTCTATCCAAGCAAGCGCAAGGAAACCCATCCCTATCCCATTTCAGCAAAAGATACGCCGTCGTACCGATCAGCATAATCGTTCAAGGAAGTCAGGAACCTTCCGTCATAAGGCTCAAACCTCCTCCATCACTCAACCAATAGAAATAGCCAATCTCGCCCATCAAAAGATAGCTGATGCTTGCCCCATGTGCTATATTCCCTGCATTGTATGTAGTTTTCATGGCATGTAGGCCAAATAAGCAGCATTGATGTTTCGCCTTGACTGTCCATCCAGGTCGTTGATTAGTCGATGGCTTGGATTACTTCAACAGATTACGAGGTGAGACCTCCCTATTGAATGTATAACCAAATGTTGGTCATCGGGCTCCCTTGTAATCAGGGGGGGAAGGATCGAAGCATTGAATACGGTTATTTTTAATCGAATTCTTGGTTTGGCAGAAATCGTCTTTTGCTGATTAGACCTTTTACATTAATCTTGAACTAATCCTCGGCCATGGCGTTACTTGGATGATCCTACCCGATAAGAAGGTAAATTGGATTACTAAATAAAGGTTATTTTTAATCGATCAAATAGTTCCGCTGATTCCGTGTTCCGTCTGGAGCATGATTGCCTGCATTCCTAGATTATAGATATTCTAGTGATTTCAGTATTGATTTTAACCAAATGAAACATTTGAGGACCTAACCGCCTGAGATGACATATAATATTGGAAGGTTGGTCTTGGTATCATGAATAATAGTGTCAAGTGAGTTAGCGTTAACTCATTAACCAGTCAACATGCACGCAGATTAAAAACATCGGACGAAGATGGATCAGTAGCTTTGACGTACCTCGGTACAAGTCGCGCTCTGTGCTGTGCAGCCAAGTCGGGCTGCGTGGCAGGATCTGGCGAGCGGTGCTTTGGCATTAGGAGATCATGATACGATGTTTGGAAGCCCTGATGGAAAATTCTTTCCTCAGCTCTCAGCCCTTGGCAAGGGCAACGAGATTGTTTCATCTTCAAGAAGGTCGTACGCCCCACAACAGAGATTCGTGATCGTTCTTTTTATTATTTCCTTCCGTCCTAGCTTATTAGTTGGTAAATAGCTTCTGAACTGCTAAAAGGCAGGATGCTCGGGATTCGGATCAAGCGTACCAGCTACACGCATAGCTAAGACGGATTTGTGAGAAACCTCCAAAACCAAGAGGTTTGGCATGTTAGGTTGAAGCCTAGGAAGGTTGAGTAAATCAGGTACAAGGTCCGAATGCGAAGAGTAGATCCTTGCTCCCGCCATAGGAAGACAGCGGAAGAAAAAGTACGAAGTGAGATAGAAACTGCTGAACCAAGAGGGTGACCATGGCACGGTTGTGCTCGGTTTCCCTGAGCTCTCCAATTATTGGCATAACTCCAATCACTCCAATCACTCCAACCACTCAATTCGTGTCATAATTTTCCCTATCATGGAACAAATTCTGGCTGTACATTGGGTTAACTCTGCAATGCACCAACGCAAGTGGGGTGTGCGAGCATGAGATAATCTCTTTGAAAGACTCAAAATGTGCTGTCGAATTGAGATGTGATATTTTGGTAAGAGTAAGGAAAATCTCTGTGGGTGAATCTAGTAGTGAGAAAGTCTCGAATGCTTATTCGTCAAGGCTTAGATTGAAAACAAATGAAAATATGTTGTCTCAATCTCGTATCCGGGGTACGACTTCGTAGCCACATTAAGAACGATATCGAACTTTCGAAGCAATTCCCTGCCCTTCAACTTTTCTCCTTCCCTTCTATTGGATTCTCGGGGAAAATCAATATGCAAGGCCCTTCCCACACTGGTTTTGGTCCCAGTTTGGTAAAGCCCAGTTTCAGTCCACATTCAACGTTTATAATTACTTCGCACTCATTCTCTCTTCTTCTCTCCGCGGATTTGTGCGAAAGGGGTGATGAGAGAATCGAAAATAAAAATACAATATGACGTATAAGTTGAACCCCTTATACTCTGGCCACCCCTATTTTGAGCTACTCATTCACATCAAAAATCGCCTTTTCGGCTTATTAATATCTCTTTCAAAATACAATATAATTTACTAAAAATTTATATATACACTAGTCATCGGGGGGAAAGAGTTTTCAGACTACGAATTCGTAGAGTTCTTTTTTCTTATTAATTACTATATAATTTTAAAACTCTACAAATTCGTAGACTTTAATTTCTTTTCCTCTAATGACTAGTACTAATATAATATAGTATAATATGATATAATATAATACATAATTCTAATTCTAATTATATATATACATACATTTATAATATATAATATATATAAGAATCAGCTCCTAAACCCTCGATTCTCGCTACGCTCGAGTTTAAATAATTAATTTTAATTTAGTATTCTTCTTATTCTTCTTATTCTTCTTATTCTCTTTACTCCTCTTTTTTTTAGTTTTCTTTTCTTTTCTACTAGATTTATTAGATTTATTAATTAGTTTAATAGTAGAATAGTAGTATAGTAGTATTATAGTTCTTCTTTATATTCTTCTTTTCATTCTTATATAGCTTTCTCTTAATATAATTTTATATATCTCCTAGACTATTATTAGAGGACGTCTGAGTAGTTCGTATAATATATCTTAAATAAAGATGCTTGATTGATGAGATTACAATTTTAATGCTTTTTTAGTTACTTTATTTATAAAATGAAATCTTGATTCTAAATCTTACTTTTTCAAAAATCTATAAGAGAAGGAAAGATTAGAAATAAATAAATAATTCATTACTTAGAATTTTATAATAAAAATATTATTAATTAGATTATATATTCAAGATTAAACGTAAAGATTTAGTTAAACTTAACAAATCCTAATGATCTAATTAGTTACTTAGATTCCTATTAAGCGAGGCGTTTTCTAATAACATTCTATAAGATAGATTCTAAAATTCAGATTCTAATTTAGATTCTGATATTGAAAAACGTCTAAGGCAAATATAAGAGTTTAAGCCCCGGCTTATCGCATACTAAGCGAAAACACACTAAAAACCCTCATTTCTTCAACTTTTAAACTATATATTAATTCAATTAATGTATGAATTAGGTTTATAAAAATGATATATAAGATCGAAAATCATTTAAATGATTCAAAAAAATAAATGAAATATTTTTATATATTTTTTTGATAAAGTTATAGGTTTTTAAAGTTGAAAGAATTAAAAGTTTGAAAAAAAAGTGATTTTTTTATATGAGAAAAGCGTTACATATTATAAATTTTGAAAAATTTCAATTTTAAAACCCTAAAACTTTATCAATTTTCATAATTTCAAGGAACAATTTTAATCGAATATTCTTTATATAGTTATTTCTTATATATACAATTTTCAAATCAATTTTTCGAATAATTAAAGATTTATAAAAATAATTAATTTATATAAGAAAACAGTATTTTTGCGGGGATTTTATCACGAAAAAGGGTGGTGTGCGATAAGCCGGGGCCTCAACTCTTACTTTAAATCATAGTATCTCTACTTATAAATACACCTTTAAATATCTTTTAATTAATACTTTTAATTCAATCAATTAATTCTACTACTATTATAGAGTCTACTCTAAAAGTAATTATATTATTAAAAAGTCCTCAATTGCTCTAATTTAATTATTTCTTTTCTGATTCTTTTTTTAGTATATGAACACTAATAGCTTCAATTCATTAGCTACTGTATTACAAGCCCTAAGCGAATGCGAAAGAGACTAGCTCTTTCCGTAGTGTCTATATATTGTTACGATGGGTAACAGAATGCCATGTGACCAGTGTCACGTGGTGGAGTTCTCAGGAGCCAGGGCTCCAAGGAGGTCCTTGGGAGCTAGGACTTCAAGAAACTCCAAATCAATATCAGAGAACGAAGATCTATATAAGGAATGGGATTTCATTATAATGTAGAGCTTTGTGTTCAAGAGAACAATCATTAGTTTTATTACTATAATTATAAGAATTGTAATCAATTACAACCTTATTGAATTCCTACTTGAAGTCTAGTTTAAACCATTTTGAGAGATCTCTAGATATTTCCACGTGACCCTAGAGGCAGCTCCCGTAACACTTATGGCCTATAACTTTCTATACATAGCTAGCTCTTTAGACAGAATACAATATAGACATTTAGGACCTACGAATACGTGAATGCTACGTCTTTCGTATCCTTCTTAAACCAATAATTAGTTCATTTAAGAATTATATACTGAATTGAAATAATATAATAGGTTTCATAGGCTTTCCTCCCACCTGCCTCGGTGTTACGGGAGCTGCCTCTAGGGTTACGTGGAAGTATCTAGAATTCTTTTGAAATGGTTTAGTCTAAACTTTAAATAGGAATTTAATAAGGTTATAACTAGTTGTAATTCTCATAATTATAGTAATGAAATTAATGATTGTTCTTAAACATAAAGCTTTATATTATAATAAAACTCATTTCCTTATATAAATCTTCGTTTTCTATCCTAGTTTCTAGAACCTTTCCGATATATTGGATCGTTAAGAATCGTAATGTGCTCCAGAAGTGCTAAAGCTTCTTAACACTTTATCACATGTAATTTATGTTATGTGACGTGGTATGTTGGATGCCGTCGTAACACTCGGCCGGAACAACCCTGTACTAGCGTCGGCAGTACTTCTAACCAATTAGAAGGGGTTTTATGAATGTATAAAATACAAAATAGCCTGCTATATATAAATACATAATTACATGATACAACTAGAGTATATATCTACTTAATTGCTTTTACGAATTATAATTTAGATCATTCTAAGCTTATTCTGAAAATCTTAAATTTTCAGGATTTTTTTAAATGAAAATCTAAAGTCTTAAAATATCGATTTTTAAATTTATATAAAAATCACATATAAATTTAAAATTGTTTTCAAACTTTCAATAACTTTACAATCACAATTCATAATAAGAATTTATTAACTTTTTAAAGGGTTTAAATTTAGAGCTATATGAAGATTTTTTAAAAATTTAAAGAAATAAATAGTTATAGAGATATATATTAGATAAGAATTAATAATTATTATAATTTTAAAAAATACTCTTTTAAATACTTATCTATTAGAATTTTTTTGAATCTTTTGATTAAATATACTATTAATTTATTATAAAAATAAACATTTTATTCTTAATTCTTTTTAATAAAAATTGAAATTTATATATAATTCCTATACAAATTTCAAAATAAGTTTGGAACAATCTAAATTACATATTCAGTTAATTTTAATTTATTTTATCTATAGATAGGAAAGTTTTTTTTTTTGTCATTTTTAATAATAAAAGGTGGTTCAAAACAGAAATGACTAGAAAATAGAGTATCCGACTTACTTAGAGAAAGATTATCTAATAGTTACATTACTAAGGCTCCTGGAGGACCTGCTTGATCTCATGTCATGTAATATCGACATCACACATATTCACGCCGATGAGCAACAAACACTCTTGGTTACTCATGATGGATTGGTATTTTCCTTGAATGGATATGACATTATTTCTATTCATGGCATTCGGCGCATTTGATACCACTCAATATATACTCGGCGATAGGCACTCCATCTTAATTTAGGGATATACCTCAGTTCGGTTGCTTCTCGAATCTCCAAACGGCGAGATATGCGGCCAAGAGAACAGCATTCAGCAATGTAACGCCAACAACCCTCCTGCTGCTAGGCACCAGGAAGCATGGCATCATCCTTCCATATTGTTAACAACCTGTTTGAATACTGAAGCCGACGGACAGGCAGACAGGCAGACAGGTAAATAGGTACCTATAGCCTTTAAAACAAGTATACCGGCCTTTGTCACCATAAGGTTGCGTCTAGTCAGAATTCCTTGATCCATGATCATGATTTAATTTCTTATCAACCAAGATCCATCCTATCTAATTAATTAATCTGAATGTTACGAACCAACTTTCTGGATATTACGAAGTTCACACTTGGGGGCTTAATACACTGTTTCCATTGCGTGGCCAGTTCTATAGAATCGGCCAATCATACCACTCAATTAACTTTGGAACATTGAAGTTTCCAAGTCATTTTTTGTATAAAGAAAGACAAACGAGAATAGCTTCTCGAATCTTTCTGGAAGCTTTTTCGATGAAAATCCTTGGATATTGAAACCCTGTGCCCACATGTTTTGTTTGATCTACAGTGGTACTTTACCGTTTGATGCCGCTGTACGCTAAATAGCCCCTCGTCCCTCTCATGCGCAAGCAAGCAAGCATTGTCATCTCATTTTCGTTTCATCGGACAAATTGGAGACCAATCCCACCCCCCCACTGACAATCCTAGAAGATTGTAGGAACCTTGAAATATACGGAGAAATATCTGGGGATGACATTTCTTTACCCACAACGAGAATCTAGTTTGTGCGTGTACGCTGTACCCTAGGGTCATATCACGATCCACGGCTCTCATATAATTCTATATTGTTCCAATTGCAAAAGCAAAAGGATCTACCAGATCAGTACAACCTCGGAAAGGTACTGGTCTACCAGAAGACCAGGCTTAGGACTCACAAT